ATTGATTGCAATAGAAGTGAATGCGAACATAAACATGATAAAATAGTTCGTACAAAATCAAACAAAAAATCCAAAGAAAAGTCAAAACGATTCACAAAGTGATTGCAGAGTATACAAAAAAGCGGAATGCTTAAAAACGTGATTCAGATCAAAATTTCCAATGAAACATCCGAACACCATCAAACTATTATGATTAACTTGAAGTGAACATAAAATTAAATCAAGGTTGCAATTAAAATCAAGTGAACACTTTATATTGAGACCAAATCAAGATGAGTCTTATAAATGTCATCAATCATTCGAAACGTAACGAATTCTATCCCCAAGACGAACCACATTTTCGTTCTTTACCAAATTATTGATGGCCTCTTCGAGCAAATCTCTGCTGAACGACTGCAAATAACACCAATTATATCAAAATTTTGAAAACAGCAATTAAAACTCACAATATCAGACTGTCTCAGCTGAACGATAAGCTTCTTAATGGGTATCGAAACACCCTTTTTGTTGGCCAATTCCGAGGTGATTGCATCAGAAAGGTGCTGGATCAGTTTACGATTGGTGGCACTCATTCCCGCCGCCAGAATATTTATATCGACGCGACCTGTTGACGGATCCACTGACGATTGCTTCAGTGCCTCGCAGTGCAAGCTGAATCATTTTAATTAATTTACAATCCACTTCGAGGAATCTAAAAGAAAAGTGATACAAACCTGTAAGCATCTTCAACGTCCTGCACCGACACGACTGAGCTCAATCGCATTTTCGCGTGTGCTTCAGAAAGTCTTATCAATGATTCCAACTGTCTCGGATATGCCGATATCTAAAACAAACCAATCGATCACCTGAACTAAAAACCATATAAATCAACCACCTACCTGTCCATAACCAGTGCCCGCACGTCTCATCTTCAAATACTTATCAATTAAGCATTGTGATGCTGCATCGTCTATTATCGGATGCACAAACGTTTTCGCATAACCAATATAGTCTCGCAACAGTGCCATATCCACTTGTTCTGTTGCTGTAAAAAAAAACTCATTGAAATCTCCACCAAACACTAATCAACCACTCTAACCATTCTCATCGTTTGTTCTGTAATAAAGTGAAACCAGATGATTGGCCAGTCTGCGATCGTAATTCTCGTCCTGTGCATCCACTAACAGAAATATCAAATCGAATCTGCAATGTGCACATTTATCTATATAATCTATCCTATATAAAACTGCAACCACTTTTCTAACAACTCCTCCATTAATATTATTCATGATAATTTAGATCTGGTACGTTCACTTCAAGAAAAAACATTCACCAAATAACCGCAACTCAACTCAAGTTACCGATCGTATCAGCATCAGTGTGAAGTTTAGGATAGACAGTAAATTGAATCCCAAAAAGACTGACTCGCTATGAGGAAAAAATTGTACCTGGACAAAAGAGTATGTGGTAGTTGTATATTGTCAATGATTGTTTTTTGCTGATTCCATTGAGAATCCACTGGATTCGCCGCGGCCAGAACCGATGTTCTTGCGTTCAGTTGACAGATTATTCCGGCTTTTGCAATCGACAATGTTTGTTGTTCCATTACCTTCAACAACAAACGTTACCACCACCACTCAAAACACACCTCATCAGGCACACCAAACTCAGAAA